CTCCGTCCATAGCAAAGACAAGGTTACCAAAAAGATCTAAAAAGGATTCTCAAAGAATCCAACAGTATGTGTGGTCCTTCGCCTATCGTTGGAGCCACAAGGCAGACTTGAAAGGAAGTCTCGCCAAACTGGCAGCTAAGGTTAACAAACGCAGACGCAGAACCCATGAAGAGAGAAAAAGAAGAGGACGAAACGCCGTCTTGCATTCCGTTTTCCAAACCCACATTTGCAAATTATTTGGCCCAATAGAATTCAATGATATGATCAATGAATAATTTCCTAGCGTAATGTGGGACGAAAACACCATTTCTAATTAAAGGCAAAACAACAAAATCTTCACGGCACCACATTTTTAAACAAATCAATGAAGAATGGTTGAAATCAAAATCATTAAAAACACCGGGTCCGTTATCAGCGCAGGCACCATGTTTCAGAGTCAAAGTGCAGCTTGCTATATGCTGAATAATTCGCTGATGCACCTTCAGCGGTTCCTCGTCACACGCTGCCCGCGTGAGAGTGCCCAAATGCGCTGCAAGACAGGTGGAAAACCATCTTCGCTTGCCGGACCGTGACGTGAGACCACCCGGTAGCCCACAAAGAAACACGCAAAATCCATCAACTGGGATTGGCCCCATCCACCTGCCTTTCGATTATCATGGAGTTGGAGCTATTCCATAGCTATGCCGACTATGTTTTGGGCCATCCAGCCCTACCCAAAATGTCCAAGGAGGATCTTTTTTCAAAGCCAGGTGTCAGCTGACCTGCTTTAGATGAGGGGATTTTAATTGCCTGTTGAAGTCAGATGGCATTGATTCACATACCGAATCCACCATTTGTTTGGAGATGAGAAGTAGTTTGGGACACAGCAGACCACAAAATCCAATAAATCATCATTCATATTCATGTCATGTGAGGTCGCCCATTCAAAGCGTGTCTTCTGCATGCTGCGTACGGCCCAAAGCCCGCCGCCTGCTTGGGAGAACGCAACCAGAGTTTCAACTCTGTGGGGACAGAAAACAACTACACAGAGATGGCAAAACAGGGTCGCATCATATACGTACATATATACATATACTTATATACATCTAGAAGGATGTAGAAAGGTATATCTACATAATATGTATTTGTTTTACTGTTATATATACTCAGAAGTCATACACAAGTCATATTCATGTGCTTTCTTGTGCAGACAATGGAGCATCTCAGAATGCCTTGAAGTTGACACGCGACCTGAAATCTCGGCACGGCACGCCATGGATTCACCAGGTCGGGGTTCGTCTGGGTTGGGGACAGTCACATAATCATAACTGGGACATCCGGCTGGTGCTAAAAAAACACTTGTTTAGATTATGGGACCTGATAACCCCACATGTTACCAACTTCTCTAGACTTAGACTGAGCAAAGAAAAGCAAGAAGGGAAGAGGAAGTATAAGAGTGATGGAGGGGTGAAGGTGTGTGAGTTTGTGTGTATGTATGTGCATGCACAGGTGAGTGAATGAGAATGTGAGTGACTGAGTGACTGAGTGACTGAGTGAGTGAGTGAGTGGGTGAGTGAGTGAGTGAGTGATTGAGGGAGAGTGAGTGAGGACTCGTGCCGTGCGGGCTTGCGTGCGTGCGTGCGTGCGTGGTGGTAGTACGTGTGCGTGCGTCGTGCGGTGCCGTGTGGGATGGGTGGGTGCGTGCGTGCTTGTGGGTGGGTGGCGTGGGTTTTTTTTGGGGCGTGCGTGCGTTGCGTGGTGCCCTTGCGTGCCGTGTGCGGTGGAGTGCCCGTGGTGCGTGCAGTGCAGGTGCGTGCTGACGTGCGTGTGCGTGCGTGGTGCTTGCTGAAGGCGGCAGAGGCGGGAGAGGAAGGAGCGGATACAGAACTAAAAACAAAAACCCCACACGTCAATGTGGGGAAATTTAAATTGACTGTGGATTGATGTGGATTGTTTGTTCTGAGCCTAAGAGTGTTTGCTCGGGATCGTGTGCAACTACCAAAGCCACTCTATCATCACATGTTGAAGCTTGAAAACCCACGATCTATGCATGTTTGGAGATTTAGAGTGACCAGGAGTGTCACTCCGAGGCGGATACAAATCAGACTGCTAGAAGCCAACTCTTCAAACACGATCAAGCACAAAGGTTTTGCAATGTGGAGTCAGGAGTCATCTGTATAAATGATCTTGATATACCTTGAGTTTGGAAGCCCCGGGCTATTGCGTGGGTTCAGGAATTGAACCATGCTTGCGTTTGGGGTTCTCAATATTCACAAAATCAAGCGTGCCTATCATCACGGTGAACTCTCAAAGCATAGTTTTGTAGGGGTGCTTGGTTGTATCAGAATTGTTCTTGGCGATGTCCTTATACTTTCTGATTGCGACTGTAGATTTTGCATGTGCTGGTATCATCGTGTATCATCCCGCTTCATTGATTAATTTCCACTGTTTATTGGACACAAACCACACGGCAATATGGTTCTTTGAAATCTGCTGGCTGGGCTGACTGAAGTCAGCCAAGCCAGTAGCAGCTAAGTAACGATAAAATTTCCCATCACATTTGCTGACCAATAGTCAAATCCTTCTTATTCAGGGTACACTGTTTCCCCATATATACATTCAGTCAACGCAATATTATTCATATATACATGCACATGCATGTACATCTCATTTGATTCCTGTTCCCGCATCACACGAATTGGTCCCAATCTCTAGCTATTCAAACTGGCAGCACCCCAAATCCCCATCTTCAATTATTCTTATCCATGCCAACCCCCATTTCATAACCCCCTGGATTGTTTAATTTTGGTAGAATGAAGACATATTAGCAAATCATGATCATCAACCGCAAGGTGGTGCCCCGATAGTTATAAGCTGGTGTGGTGTATAAACTCTGCTAACCTATATTATAGGTATTGTAAATATGTATGTGTGACAAACCCTACAGCAATTACGTTTGTTCTAAACCAACTTGGCCATATACCAAGCTACTTATGGTTGTTGTAGACCAACATTGGGGTTGACAATCACTTTTGTTATAGACTTTACTGATATGTTTGTTAT